AAATACAAAATTGTGAATAATTCATTTTACCTCAGTTTTCATGATATAATCTCTGTCATATACACATCCATAATATAATGGAGCTTAGGTGCTTAAGGGATCCTTCTTTGACGTTTAGTTATTGCCAACTTTATATAACCTGGATGGAGGGAGTATAGATTGAGGTATTGCATTTATCAGGATGAGTGTTGGATTTATGCAGCATTTTCTTGATATTTATGTGAAATGATCCAGCCCCTTTAGGTGGTACCATTATACTGAGTTCTACCAAAAAACACCCTCTCAAGCCATGAGGTGAAAGCCAGCCAACAGTGTTCCTACACGGTCTCTGTTTAAGTTCCTACCTCCAAGTTCCTCCTGTCTTTACTCCCTACCATGACTTCCATTAACGATGGACTGTGAACTATGATCACAAACAAACCCTTTCCTCACTGAATTCATTTTTATATTTGCTTCATCACAGCAACAGAAACAAACTAGGTCATGTTCTTTTAACGTTTTACAACAAAACAAAATTTGTTTGATTACAGTACAAGCTACACTATATAAGTTTGTTTTGGTGTTTTTTTTTAAACAGTCCTGAATGGGAAGAGAGCTCTCTGTAACAAAAGTTTTCGTGAAACTTCTTAAGCTGTCAGAGTAGGTTAAGAAAATCAGAATGTTTGAAATAATGTGATACAAAGAGTTAAACAACAAAGTGGGGCGAGAGGGGAGGATCCTTACATCCAGTACAGTGGTAATTAAAGAGGTGCATGGTGTTGACCTTTTAATTTCATAGCTAGTTCTAAGGCCAATCTTAGAAGACAATTCTCAAATACATACTATATATAGCAATAGTGGCGCAGACATTCTGAACGCAAAGTACTTTTTTTTTATCCAATATTTAGGATTCTAGTACCAAGACTGCCAGATACTGCTGGTCATCAGAGTGACCTGGGATAGTGTCTTCCTAGTTTATTATCTCATCTCAACAAAAAATTTAAGATGTGAACACTACTGAGAGTAAGCAGGGTGCCATCTATCCGATAATTGCACTAGATTCTCTCTGTTTGCCCCAGGACAGAGCACTGCTACTCACTGTGGAGTCACTCTTAAAGAACAAATGATTCAATCTTTTTTTTATTTTACGACTAAGCTGAAAACTGTTGCTGTCCAACAATTGTTTTGTGATCTTGACTCTTTTGCTGTCTTTGTTTTTCTTATGATCTCTTATTTGAGAATTTATGTGTTTAGTCATTCGTAGTCTCTAGTCTTGTTTTTCTGATCTAGTGTCTTGAGGACCTCCTCCCTTGAGGATATATAATCACCTGCTACTATGGCAGCAAGATTATTTTGCTCACACGGGCACAGGTGTGCATGAAATAGCTCTCTCTCTCCACACACACACACACACACACACACACGCCCACACGCATGCGCGCACACACACACACACACACACCATGTATATATGTATGGGAAATTCATCACCTTGCTATAGCTGCCAGTAGTTACTTGTAGGGTTCCACGTGCTAAGAACTGCCAGGAATGGTGATGTCCCTATGCTCAGGCATTGCTCTCAGAGATTTTATTGGCTGCAATTTCCAGCACATTTGACTTTCAATTTCTAAACCATCTTAAGGACTTGAATTCCAACCTGCCTTTTCTGGAATATTTATTGAATAAGAAAACATATGTTTTTCTACCACCTGGTGGTAGTGTCCTTGTGACAAACTTCTATGAATTTATTTTAAGAGGCTAGTTTATGGAGTTATGTTAGTTATTTATGTGATTCAAATATGTATATAAACAAAACCTCAACTCTTTTAATAATGTGAATACAAGAAAGCTTTCATTTTTAAATCCTTAGAAAATGTTTTTTGTAGAAATTTAAAAAATTACACTGACCATTCTCTGTATCTGTCTGCATGTAGTTAAAAAGTATTCAATTATATGATAATGGGACTACTTAATATGGAAAGAGTATATGAATCATGAAAAGTAATGAATTATTCTTTTATAAAAATCTTTTTACATTAATTATGATATTGCTAAAATTAATTATATTTACTTTGTCCCAATGAATTCCCAGTGTATCAAAGTCCTATTTACATATCTTCTCACTCACTCTATTTTGAAAGAAACCTGTGAACTAGTACTTGTTATTATCACTGTTTCATACCCGTTGCCTAGATACAGAGAGTGTAACTTTGTTACCCATCAATCTATTCTGCCATCTTAAAACAAGTCAAATATTTGAAGCAATGATTCCAGGAAACCTGTGTACATGTTTTCTGTATCTTTAATTATTTTATTAGATGTATCTAAAACAAAATAAAATTATAATGATGGCTGAAATGAATTGTGATTTTCAGGAATACAATTTATAGATTATGTTTTAATTATAGTGAACTGCATGGGGGTAGAAAAGATCGAGTAGTAAAGAGAGGTATTTCTTCTAATTCATTACATAATAATACTTATAGTTTTATACCTAAGAGCATTGAATAAAACTTTTCTGCTATTGCTAGGATCACGACATAATTGTTGTTGATGCTGTTATTATTTGAACTCTGATTTTTAATGTTGTCCAATCACATTTGGCTGTTGAAGCATTCTTAAGCATTCTAAGTATGTTTATTAACCTTTTTCATTGAGATAGTTGTAGATTAGGGAGAAATTACATCGTCATTTGTCCACTAAAATTAACTGAATATCATTGCTTCAGTTAATTGCTATTTAGTTTTATTTGCTGAGTTGTACTGTATATGTAAAATTAGTGCTTATAAACAATCCTTTATTAGCAAATATATGTAAATATTGTAATTGTATTGTTAACAGCAATTATATGATAATATTACTGAATTTAAATTTTGAATGTAAAAGCAAGAGAATGTAGAAATTGTCATCATCCTCAGAAACCAGCACTCTAAAAATTTACAAAGCCAAGACAATATTGTTCACTTTGTAGTAATTAAATCTGTAGTGTGAAGCACTTTGAGTAAAACCTCAGAGACAGATATTACAGTTCAACCTGAAGACCAGAAAAACAAAACCAGTCACTGGTTTTTATCTCAACCTCAGTACAAAATGATGATCCTGCCTCCAGGGAACATCAGAAAGAGACTGACATCTGTCTCCTCCTGTTCTATAATCCTCTCTAGTTCTGAGATTAAGGGCGTGTACCACTACTACCTGGTTTCTATAGCAAGCTAGTGTGGCTACTGGGATTAAAGATGTGTGTCATTGCTGCCTGGTCTATAAAGCTGCCCAGAGTGGCTATTTTACTTTTCTGATCTTCGGGCAAGCCTTATTTATTCAAATAGAAATTAAATATCACTACATAAGTCTCTATAACACTCTGTTTTGCACTAGCAAAATAAAATTCAAAAAAAGAGCCACAGTGAAGGTGACAGTTTTCAGTAAAACAATACTTGAGTAGGGCTGATAGACTGGCCTGGGCCCTGAAGCAGTATTCTTATACCTGTAATCTGAGTAGTAACACAAGGCAGTAAAATAGAAGAGATTCTCGTCACTGCACTGGAAGACTGTGTGGCATTCTAGGCAGGAATAGGAAGAGTGGATACACCAACATGTTCTGAGTTTTGGGTATTCCATAAATGAATATTTGCTTTGGAATAACTTAGGCACCCAGCAGCTTAGTTTCCTCATCATTGAGATGGGATGAAGCTATCTCAGAACATTGATGTAAATACAAAGACATTAAAATCTGGCCAAAGAAGGAAGTACTTTAATTTTTTGGTATAACTGTGATTTTATGTAAATATAGTGAGCTCATTATAAAAATATATGGATATTTACATTAAAAAGAATTGTTACAGTATCAGTTTTCTTATCAAGTGATAGCCAAATACTGAGACATTTATCAATGCTTGCTATTAAAGTATCATGATGCTTTGAGAGAGAAAAGAAGGGAAAGAGAGGAGAAAATAAAACATATGAATCTGAATATTCTTGTGGGGAAAATCCATTGGGGTTATTTCATAGGCATTTGGAAATATATTTGAGATTGTCTTTATTTTCCTTTCTAAATTTCATATAAAATACAATAGATACATTTCAAGTAAGACTCAAAGCAGAAAGATTTTAGTCATAAGCTTGGATTGGCTGGTATATGATACCATCACCGAGTTCCATTACAGGTCTCCAGAAAAATACTAAAAAATGCTGTTCATAAAAATAAATGAAAGTGAGTGCATTGAAGCACTAAATCACTTCTTTGCTGCATTCTGCCATAAGTTTACATGGTTTCTACCAATAAAATGCATCATATTAAACAATTTACTTCATATTTTTGGTCATTTTTCTATCACTATTTGGAAAATTAAAAGAAATTTTGAGTGTTGCAATAACCCCAGAAATGCATTCACTCTCTATAATTTATTTTTATATTGATATAATCTGACATTATACAGTTAGGATTGAATTTTCAACATCCAAAAACGGAAATTAAAATTGATGGTCTTCCAAAAGTTATTTTAAGGTTGCCAGCATGACATTTTCAATAGTCCTTGATAAGCAATTTCACTGACAAAATTATTAGTGAATTGAAAGGGAAAGACCTTGTTCTCACTCGAAACTGGAGGCTACCTACAAAAACTGTCAATAAACAGCTACTCATGTCTTCAAAATATAACTTTGAAGAAATTCATAAAAATCATTTAATTTTGCATATCCTTGTTTGCATGTTATAGTAACTGAATACAATCAATTCAAACATATAGTAACCGAATACAATCAATTCAAACATATTGGCTCATTATGTTTCCTACTGAATAACAGTTTTAAGTAAAGTAAAAGTAGCTACTTGGAACAGCTCTTCACTTCTTGTTCTGAGAGATGTCTTAAGTCAACCTTGAAAAAAAATTGATTGTATATGTGTAGGAATTTATGTCTTGGAAAAGTAAAGCAGACAACTGAGGGAAACCCACAGTGTCTTTATGCTGCTCTGAGGGAGTGGGATTGCTTCCTTATCTTGGGCTCTCTTGTTTGCTTTTCAGTTGCTGCGAGTGTGGCTGTGGAAGGGCTTCTTCCCTGTGCGCTGTTGCGCATCCAAGCCTAATATGGTTAGTGTTTCCTCCCGCCTTACTCCTGGGTTATGTCCACCTCTACGTACTACCTTCAGCATTTCCTTACTTTCTCCATCTCTGTATATCTTACCAGTTAGTAAACCAGCTACACTTTAAAGTTGACAAGTGTAGATGGACCTCATTCCCAAATAGAACCTCCTAAGTAATTATTAGATAATGGATCATTTTAAATCAAATACTGCGAGCAGAGTAGAGGTATCTGTCAAGGTCTGTGCTTCTTCTAAAAGGCTTTCCAGTGGTTCTGATTTGAAGTAGGAATTCCATGGAGTACAGCATCTGTCACATTTAACATGTCACTGTTTTGTTGTTCCATTCAACAAAATCCATATCATGCGTGGAAGTACAATGCTACTTCTGTCCAAGTAAAATCACCTATTCTGTCTCCCAGAACCATGGAATGTCCATAGTGTGACCACAGTCTTCTATCATCATAATTATCATGGATACATGTGACAGTGATGAGAAAATACGATGTAATTAAAATGGAATAGAATTATTTCTTATATTTGAAGTGATATTCCTATTTTGATACCACTGAATAAATATATATTTAAGTCTTAATGTTCAAGTAGGATAACCTTAATTATTTGTAAACAAAACAAAATATAAATATGTAGTCATCTTATACTTTTAATAATTTTAGTTAGGAGAGACAGTAGAACTCTAGTCTTTCATTTGGAGGGACTCCTACAGCATAGTGAACTAGATAGTAAAGTAAGATAGACATTTCTTTTGTGGGTTATAGCCCCAATCTTTGCATTTTTGTATTATTTTTTATTTGTAGTCAAAATTTTCAATAAAAGTCAGTATAAGTGCTTTATGGAGGATTATATTGCAGTTTTATTAAAATATATTTTTTAATTTTTATTTTATCTATATTGTGTGTGTCTGAATGTGGCTCTGAGAAGGTATGTGCAGGTGGCCATGGAGGCCAGAGGAGGGAATTGGATGCTCCGGAGCTGGAGTTACGGTGGATGTGTGTGACCCAATGAGTTCTGGAAAATCAATAGTTTGTCCAGAAGAGCAGCAAAGGCATTAGCCTCTGAGTCAAGGGTGACATTTTAAATTACTACACTGACAATCAATGTAGTAATTTAACATTATTAAAAATAACTGATTTTTGCTCATTAGTAAAATTCGTGTGTGTGGAAATGGGGCTCACACATTTAAATCTGAATTGATCATGAATTCTTTGATAAATCCTCATCTTAACTCTTGAACACAGCTACCTTCTTTCTCCTATATTAACTACAAACTTCTTGGAATAGGTGTATAAGCCTTGTATAAATGTGAAAACAATCCTCCTCTATCAGACATTATGAATGTATTGTTATATTAAAATTCTAAGTGAATTAAATTTGAATTCAACAGTGAGAATAGATTATAAGTAGTCTTTAGATTATTTAAAATATGAATGTTTTCAGTTTTCTATTATAAGTAATAACAGAAAAGTATTTTGGTGAAGTTAACAAAACACATAAATTCTCAGATACGTTTGCAAAGGCCCTTTTGATAAATTATTCATTGTGCCATTCCCATAGTTACCAAGACTAATTTCCCATGTAGAAACATTTCTCCTGAGAGGTAAAAATGAGGTATTTCGATGAATTGTGTTTGTAGTTCGCTTGTCCCTATCTATAGAAATCTTGGTGTCAGAGTTTCCTTGTATTTATGTGAAAATAATATGGATGGGATTCATAATGTTCGGCTAGTAAGACAACCTAAACGTCCAATAAACCATTTACATGCACTCTTTCATACCCTTACCATACACTTATTGAAAAATGTTATCCCATAAAACAAAATGTACCCATCCAGTGTTTAGTAGATATATTGAATTTTTAAGTAAAACTTCTGTTTAAGTTGATAAAACTCTTCATCGTATGTTCCCAACTCTGCCCACTGGAATAGTCCTACTCTGCAGTGCAGACTGACCTGGAAGGAATTATGTACCCTGGGTGACTGGGACTGACTGAGTTCCTCCTGCTTCATAATCTCATGTGCTGAGACTTAATGCATGCATCCAAATGCCTGACTTAATTGGATAGACTCCTAAGTACAAAATTAAAAAAAAAAATTACTCAAATGATGTGCCTTAACCTTTTTATGATTGCAGCCATAAATTTTTCTAAATTGAATATTATACAAAGGTTAGGGTCAGTATTATGTCAGGAAAAAAGTACTGTGGTGGTACACAGTGGTGTGCTTTAAGAAAGACTACTTTATATTGGTGTGGTGGGCAGACTTTAATTTCAGCACCTGGGAGGAAGTGGTTAGTGGATCTTTGTGATTTGGGGGGCATTTCGTTATCCTAGCAAATTTCAGGACAGAAGGGATTATATAGTGACACCTGACTTTAGAAGACTATGTTTTGCAGTTTCCCTGAGGAAGACATAAATGCTAAGACGTCTGTAAATTGTTGAGTTTTTGAAAGTTTTGACATAAAGTTCAACAAAAGCACATTATAGTTAACTTGCAAAACAATTGTACACATCCTCAATCATTTAAAGAAATCAGAATCCAAAATTATTCCTCCTTACACTACTGTATTCCATGCAACATTTGTCAATTTGAAAAAAATATTCATAATGTATCACTCTAGATTAAGAAAATAGGATACCCTTATTGTGTGAAAGGTGTTGTTGGAGCCAGAATTTGTATTTTTTCTTCGCTATTCCATTCACCAACCCATTTCCTCATTAGCCACAACATAGACATTAATAATTCCTTGTACCAGTGTATTGCTTGGTACTCTGGAGTGCCTTATACTTATAATCCAAATTTATTAATTTATACCTAGAAAAAATATTCTTTAACACCTTCATCCTTACATAGATGAGTGCTTAGTCTCTTCATGGGTTATGGGTTTTCTAAAGTCCAACTAGAGATCTAATGGCTAGAATCAAATTTTCAAAATCACTATACCTATTACCAAGGTTATATAATCTTGACTATTAGAATGAGTAAGGAAAACAATGATTTGATTTCTAAAATTATATAAAGTCTTGACTATATTTATATGTCAAGCACCTCTCTGGGACTTTTAATGAGCACTAATTAATAAATGTGACTACATAATAGCTTTGGTTACAGAAATAGAATATTTTTTTTCTTGAAAGCAAGAGAATACATGATCAGCTAGTTCCTGTCAAAACAAACACTTCATATATTACTAAGGAAATCATTTCGAAGCTTGATAAAATAGTAATATGAAGGAAAATAAAGAGTGTCTTCTCATTTCAAGAAAAAATAACATTTTTGGCACATAGGAAGAACAGTTTATGTGTAGAGTGACATCTTCATTGACTATTTGACTAGTGAAAATTATGCATTTGGAACAGGTAGAAAAGATGCTATTGACTGAACATGCTTCTATGCAAAGTTTTGCTAATGAGGCTGAACTACTACTTGAGTGCCCGCCTCTGCCTGCCGCACTTGACTGGCTCTGTCTTGTTGAAGCTTCTTTTAATGATGCTGTAGGGGTTTCAGAACGTACTTTTATGTGCTTATGTGACATGCAGTGTATGTTACAGAGCTCTAGATATACATCGCCTAGAATAACCCCATTTGTATCATCCCCCGACTTTCACTTCCAGTAGTAAAATGTTAACTGTTCCTCACCAATGTGTTCCCGAAATATTTTTCAGATGAGATCTAAAGTTTTATTTTCATTTTAAATATCTGTAAGACATATTTAATGATAAAAATTATTGAAAATGCAGTTTTGGCAGGTTGTTTTTTTATGTATCTACTTTTCAAGTGGGAGTTTCGAGAGTGGAAATGGATGATTGAATGCCAAGTTAAACTATAAAGATTCTTAAGTCTTTTAGGTTTTCTTAGAATTCCTGCAACAGCTTTTTGCCAGGATTACTTAGATAACGCAAACCTCAGGATAAATTGATGTGATTGTGTTTAGAGCACTGTTGATAAGATACAGCAGTAACTGCTTTCCTGAGTCACTTACACTAGAGATGAAAAGAAACACGCAATTCCTTGAAAACTAGGAACAATTAAGTGAAATAGCACATATTACCTGGAATAGACAAAATTCTATTTCAGTACAATTTTGTGTGTTTGTGTCTACACTTTTCTATCTATCTCAATGAGGCGAGGGGATACATGGCTCAAGAGCTCTTGAATAAGAAATATATCAAGTGTTAGTAATAGTATTTAAAATACACCAAATCTCTCAGGTGTATTTTCCTTTTCTAAAAATAATATATTTTAATTATTACTTTAAGTTCTCCAAAAATTATGTCAGGTGTATTATACTATTTAATTTCCAGGTACATAACACAACAATGTTGTACTTTTAAAAAGGTGGTATTAATATGTATTGTGTTTAGCATTTTGTTATATCTGTTTGAATAGCCACTAGGAAACCACAAAACAGACTCTGAATTGTTTTTATATTAAAATATATGAATCATTTTAAATTTTCCCATTACAAAACCAAAGTGCAACCCTGGTAAAGCTTTATTTGACATTTTACTTATACATACAATAATCATCAACTAAATTTGTAAAGAAATATTTAGTCATTCTGGTTGCATTTTCTTAATGCAGCAATGAATGAAACTTTTGTATTTAATGAATTCAATTTTTGTGGGATATTATGAATAGTAAAATAACTTCCTTTGAGTTTCACGAAAAATAATTTAAATATTTTCATTTTTTTCTGACTGTTTAATGTTATATGGTAAATCATGTATCACATCAACTCAGCATTCATCAACATACTCATCTTCCAAATACCTGTCATCTTGTAGGCACAATCAAACGGTCATCCAGTCGTTCATTTACTCATTCATCTATGTAAATTATGTTGAATGCCAACTCCGAATCAGACACTAGGCCACTGATGAAATTTGTAAATAAATACTAGTTCCTGTCTTGTAAGTAGCTGACAAATCCTGAAGGAAAAATAAACTAAAATGAGTGTATAGCACTATAGTACAAGATTCACATTGTGAGAAGTAGAATTTCCTGGAATTTAAGTTTTGGGGAAAATATATAAATCAAAATTTGAAAAAAGAACAATATTTGGACATTGTTAGAAAGAATATACTTTAAAGAAGACAAGTAAGTTCAAATATATGAAAGCACGCAGAGCTTTCAGTTATTCTGTAGTAGGACAAAAATAAAATATAGCAACGGATGCAAGATATAGTCAATATTTATTATTTTATTAAAGGCTTTGAGTAGTAAGATTATGCAATAAAAGAACATGTTAAGTAATATGCTTTGGAAATAAAATAATCTAGTATGATTTGGAGAGTCAGCAGAAGGTGGTACATGTCTTTATTCCTAACACTCTGAATGAATAAGCAGGAGGATATCTGTGAGTTAGATACCAGTTTGGGCTACAAAGTGAGTCCAGGATAACTTGGTATCCACAGAAAGAACCTGTAAAAAAAATCAAAAATAAAAATAAAAAAATAGTTAATATACTTTAGGAAATAAGCTATAGAATAGATAGACATTGTTCTGAAGGCACAGACTTCCAGATAATAATTACAAAGGCATTATTGATGCAGTGGTTGAGGTTCTGTGGAGACAGGCCTTAGGGTGCATATTGTATAGAACTTGGGATTTAACAATTAAAGAGCATAAAAAATTGCTCAATTTTTTTTTTTTAGGAAAATGGTCATACTAGAGAAAGTCACAGAATACAGAATGAAAATTGTTGAAAAATGAAAGTTTATTTGTTAGGTGCTAGAACATCTCAATAAAATCAATATTTGAGAGGTAAGAATAGACTTTTCCAAGAAATTAACTCAAAGCTTTTATAGAAAAGGATGTAAATGATTAAATAGGAAAAAAAGAATAGCAAATATCTTTGCTTGGGATTTTAGAAAATATCCATTCATAAGCATAGAGAAAAGAAAGAGGCATCAAAAAAAAGGATCTTAGTCAATTTAATAATTAAAAACAGTATGTAATCACCAAATTAGAAGTTATCATTTGTGAACTGTAAATGATGTCAGAATGAGATTAGTTTTCAAAACCTTCCAAATTATTGGCTAGTTAAGAAAGACCAGAGACTATGATGTGAGGGATGAAGGTAAGAGGCAAGACAGGTTTCTGATGAATTACAGAGTATTCTGAATATACATGATTGAAAAGAGTTGCTGAAGAAGCTATAGTAAAGGAACAAAGAAGTGGGAAGGAAACAAAAATGAAGAAGCAAGGAAAGAAAGAAAAAAGAGAGAGATAAAGGAAAGAAGAAAAAAGAAAGAAGGAAAGAAAGAAAGGAAGGAAGGAAGGAAGGAAGGAAGGAAGGAAGGAAGGAAGGAAGGAAGGAAGGAAAGAAGAAAGGAAGGAAAGAAGGAAGGAAAAAACCAAAATGTTTCAGAAGAATATCGAACCAGTGAAAAATGTTAAGCAGTCAAGACTGGAAAAGGCAGTGGCAAATTGGCTAGAAATAACTGAAGAAGAGAAGAGAAGAGGACTAGAGTGTGGTATGGGGAAATAACCTTAAATATAGATTTAGATGGCTTAGACAGTAGAATCTAGAGAACATTATTTGTTGAGCATCTAAAATAGCAGCTACAAAAGTGAGTTCCATTCCAAATTAGTGTTGGTCTAATTTTTATTACTGGTATGGAACTTGGCTCTGGGTTTGAGAAAATTCAATAGCATTCATTGCTCCGTGGGTTATGTAATAGATTCACTATTTTTAGATGTGGCTAACTGTGGCTCACTTTGTTCTAGGCGGTGTGGCTACAGCAAAGCCAAGCAGGATCCAGAAGAGGAAAAGATGCACTTTCATAATGGGCACAGTAAGCAAATTGTGCAAAATAAAAACAGGAGGCTTTATTATCATTCTGATTGCTGCTCAGGTTAGACAATTTGTAATAATTTACCAAATCTATAATGAATAAAACAAACAAGTATTTCTTGCATTTATAACTCCAGGGCTTGAACAAACTCTGGATGGTTTATTCAGTTCAAAACCCAATCTTTCCTTTATTATCACTAAAAGAAAAATGCTTGGCTATCTTAAAAATGCTACTGTAGTTCAAATCAAAATGCCAGGTAAATTTCACATTCCATGAGAAGTGAGTAGAAATCCATTATAAAATCATGCCATCAGGCCTAATGAATGAAGGTTACTCTACCGCTTCCTTTTGCGGGACTGCAATGGGAATTTCCTGGTGTGCAAAACCTTTGTGTCATCAGGCTTGCTTGGAATGACCTGAAAAGGGCCACATATTTCAACAAATGCATGAAATCCAGTTTCACTAATAAGCTTAAGGAATAAGTGTGCTTTAATCATGTTATTTAGTGTATACAACATGATTAAATTTGAAAAATGAGTGAAGACAGATATCTTTTGCATTAGTCCCTCTACTGAGATCATATTTAATTTGACGAAAAGCAGGGAGACCACTTCCCACTGCTATGTGTCTATGTTATCCATCTTTAAAGTGCAATCCTGGTATGATTATTGGTAACTTGGACTAAAATAAATATGGATCTCTTGGTATAGACAGAATGAAATGTAGTTCTGTTTTTCTTTTACTTTTTTATTTCAGCACCACATGTTTTATATGTTCTTTAAGGTCAGAATTAATACTCTATTGCAATATCTAAAAATGAGCCTATAGACCAATTCAACAAAGGAGTCACTATTTTTTTTCCCTCTTCAATCATCAAAGTGTTCTCAATATACATCTGAGTCTGTCTGAACAGTATTTTAAAAGATGGTTATGTAGACATGCCAGCATATACACGTTTCTTGTGTAGGGAACCATCCATATTTATAAGTTATAAAAGTAAAATAGCTGTGTACATAACTGTCATAAATCAGAAGAAAGCCTCTTCTTGCAACTCAACTCCTTTTAGAAGTAAGGGAATGCAGTCACACTTGAGTGTTGACAAGTTGCTGCATGAGTAAGCACTTCCCCTCTGCTTACTCATACATTAACGTCCATGTATCGTTACAGTTAAACTGCCAGGGGTGAGAACCTACATTGATCCGCACACCTACGAAGACCCCAATCAAGCTGTCCATGAATTTGCCAAGGAGATCGAAGCTTCATGCATCACCATTGAGAGAGTCATCGGAGCAGGTGAGAGGACAGTCCCATTCTGAGCTGTCAGCTTTGCTTATGCTAAGAATGTAATACATCCATGTCCTGATCTCACACAGAAGGTTCTTAACCTCTTGCAACTGACTTTCTCTCAAAGTTTGATGTGACTGATCACCTTTTAATTCGAACTTCCGTGTAGTTCATAAAGGAGCAGATGCCTACCTTCTTAGCAGAGAGACCCAGTGAAGAATTGTTGCCCATGTAGTAGTGTGTATATATATGTACAACGCAGCTGTAATACTGAAAAGTATTTGCTTTGTTCAATTCAACTTGAACATGTCTTTACATAACCCAGCTAATATCTTCCTAGTTCCCTTTGATTTTTTCTCATCAGTAGTAGGTACTGACAGACTATGAGAGAAGTAAAACAAAATGAATTAAGGTCAGGTTTTTTTTTAAAAAAAAAAAATCTTCCTAATTTTGCTATTTGGATTGTACAAGTTAAATGAATGAAGCTAGTAAGGCCTAGAGTGATTTTGGCCATCTACGGAGGATATTTCCCAATATAACATTTACTTTTGTTAATAATACTGTGGAGGCTTGGTCTCACCCTTAGTTTATTTTCTTCCATCTGAAACTTTATGCATAATTTTATTAGAATAAGAATTCTAAATGAGTTTACACAGTATTTTTTACCTTTATCACAAGGTGAATTTGGTGAAGTTTGTAGCGGACGTTTGAAACTACCAGGAAAAAGAGAATTACCTGTGGCTATCAAAACTCTTAAAGTAGGATATACTGAGAAGCAGCGCAGAGATTTCCTGGGTGAAGCAAGTATCATGGGACAGTTTGATCATCCGAACATCATCCATCTAGAAGGTGTTGTGACCAAAAGTGAGTACATACAGTGACATGGTGTGTGTGTGTGTGTGCATGTGTATGTGTGATATACATAATGAGTATCTGTTTAAATTGTCATCGTCTCTACACTAAAAGAACTGAACAAACTGAAATATTAATTTCTCAAATGGTGAAAATTTCCTTATACTTTAGTAGACTTTTATTTAAGATGATCTGTAGAAAACCCATGTTTATTTTATAAGTTTTGTATTCATTTACCATGAATTCACTTCCAGAGAACAAACAAAAATTGTAACCAGTAAAACAGCAAAAATAATAGATAAAATTATTTACTTCTGGATATTTATGTAATTTTTGTTTTAGTTGTGAGCCTGGCCTTTAGCAACAAGTCGTCTCTCAGGTCCTGATTATGTATTTTTTTTTAATTTGTTAAGTGCTACTGGTAATTAACTGTTCTCATCAACAGCATCAAAAAATCCATATGGATTAATTAGTTTTTAGTTACAGGAAATCCAGCTTTTATTCAGAAATACCAAGGTTTTGCATGCCATTTAAATATTGTTAACATTTTATGAATGCATTTTTGTACTATGACTTTTGATGAAGGATGCCAAATACTTTACTAAATCATCAGTTGCTCAGTAAAGAATTTAACTGGTCCTCTATTGGTCCAGAAATGATTTTTCTACAAGCTGTTTTGTCATAATTCATTTAGTTTGCAGTTATTACTCAGCATTATCTACTCAATTACCTTTATTTGAGATGGCATTCACATGCATGCACACGTGCTCTCTCTCTCTCTCACACACACACACACACACACACACTCGGAAGTATATAAATATATACAAAACAATTGAATTAATAATCAAATGAACACAGTGGTACAAGTAAAGTGGCTATATACTCATTGAGCATTGACTTGGACAATACCCATTATGAGTTTTATCTGATTTAATTCATAGCATCTTCATAGTTACATTGTGAGGTACTCTCATCCATCTCATTGATGAAGATGATAAAATTTAAATTTTAAAAATGATTTAAATTTCTTAATAGAAATGGACCTGTGCCCAATGAGCAACGAGATAGATTTTCAAAAATTCGCACTGCTCCAGTGAGATAATTATTCCCATTTAATAAATCCATAAATATTAAATGGAATTTTTAGAGACTGTCTAAAGTTATATATCCCATACTGTACTTTTAGAAAGCTTTAAAAACTCCCAACCTCCAGCTTTCTGTAGGATTTTCATGGCCTGGTTCAGCTGGCCTTGCCCTATCAGTGCACAGGCAGCATTGTAACAGAGCTCATGTGTGCCTTCTTGGAGACCCAAGTACTCCTGTCACAGAGAAAAATGTCAGTCAAAGCATAACTATGAAAATTCTTTCATAATTTATATGAAAAGAAGGATATATACTTTATATTCTGCACTGACTATAGAGCTTCTGAAATATACACCTCACCTTTATTGCCTTTATAACTCCTTCAAACTCCTAGTCAAATTCCACAAATTATATCACACAATAACTCCTCAAGTTGCCCCAGAGTCATCTTCTGGCTTTTCCAGAGCTATGAAGATGTTTGCAACAATCTAGAAAGTTCTCTTATTTGGTCCAAAACTCTTACTGAAATATTCTAGTTAACTCTCATATTGGCATACAGTTTCCAGTTCCCTAGCCAAACAGTGAGTTGTCCTAAGAAAGGACAGTTAATGCACTGAGTATTTAAGTAAAGCCATTTTATCTAAATCTATGTCAATATACAGCTACTTTTTTTTTTAATACCTTGAGCCTTACTGGCATAAAGAAATGGGGATGCTATCTACCTTAAAGGACAGTCCTAGAGATTAAGTTATGATGTTATTTTATGTATGTTGTTGAGTAAGTGTGCCATCAAAAGTTATACTAGTGAGTAAGCACATAATTTTATGTATTAAATGTGTTTCAGAGTAGTAAGCAATGTCCAATTTTTGAAGATATATTCATTTATATTTTCGTAAACTTTATTTATTATAGATCATCTTTATGCAACTGTGTTCTGAGGAACTTAACTGAGACAACTTCCTATAATAACACAGAAAAATTTCTCACATATTTTTATGTGCTTGGAATCTTTATTATTAGGCGCTAATGCCAAAGTAAACTCATGATCAAATGCAGATTATGTGAGCGCAACTCTGAAAAATGGCGTTGCAGTGGAAAAGATAGTTTTCAATTTTCATTCTCTTAATGAAATATTCTGCTTGATGTTACTACCCAAAGGAATGCTACATATAAGGAAAGCAAGTGTAAAAGCTGAAAATATGTCTTTGGTTTCAACTTTGTGATCTGTGTGAGTTGAAAGTGTATTTCCCTTCTCTAAATGCAGCCCTTGATGTTCAACTTCGGAAGTCTTCAACTTGTTTTCAATTTACCATGTTGCGACTCACTTTATTTGTGTCCTTAATTTCATGCTCTCTGATCTGATGCTAATTTATTCAGCAATTATTCTCAACCTGCAGCACACAGATAATGAGACATAAGTGCAACTAACTCTTGCGATTTTTCTGATTGAAGCTGAAGTGGAGAGCCTGGAGTAGCACCCTATGGATGCTTCTCTTTATTCTGTTACTGCAGGTGATAAAATATTGAGGGCCCATTTAGATTCCATCTGTGATTATTTATGAAATTCTGTATAAGTGTGTATATAATATGTATGTATGTATGTATGTATATAAAACACATTTGTGTGTACATATATAATACACATACATATTCATGTGCGCACACACACACACATGTGTGTGTGTGTGTGTGTGTGTGGTAGAGAAGTCTCATGACTTTAGAAACTCCCAACACAAGACATTTTGCATATGTGTGTGTGTGTGTGTGTGTGTGTGTGTAGTGACAACTCTTACTATTTAATGAGATCCCAGAAAAAATAAATAAAATGAAGACAGAAGTTATGGGGTTTTTTGTTTTTGTTTTTGTTTTTGTTTTTTTTTTTTTACTATTAGAACACTTAGCTCTTTCAAGTGTGTGCATATTCATGAGAGAGGACTGTGCATGCATGAATGTGAGGCCAGGTCAATTTCAGGTGTTGTTCCCCAGGAGCCGCTTACTTCTCTTTTCCTTTCTTGGTTTTCATTTGGACAGACTGTCTCACGGACTGGTAACACACCATCTATGCTAGGCAGGGTCTTCAGTGAGCTCCTGGGATCCTTCTAAGTTCTCCTCTGCATTCCTACAGTTACAAATGCAAACCGTAATGCTTGTTTTTTAACATGTATTTTGGAAGTCAAATCCAAGTTCTAGTGAGACCATGAGAAGCAATATAAACTTTAATTACTGAGCCGTCTCATCACCCCACTTGCTTAGTTAACTTGATTTCCATGGGTTGAGAAAATGACTTAGTCAAAAAATTCCTCACCAGGCAAGAATGAGGACATGCGTTCAGGCTCTAACAGTTGTGTAAATGTTCTAGTATAATGATGTCAGTTTGTAATTCCAATGCTGGATATGTAGAAACAAGTAGATCTCTAGGACTCAATGACCAGGTAGTCTAGTGAGAGGCTCTATCTTAAAAAAATAAAAAACCGGTTCTGTTTCTCAACTTAAGATACTCCACCTGAGACTGGCCTGTGACCTTCAGGAACAGAGCTACATGTGCGTTTCTTCATTCTCACGAACATGTCACGTGCAAAATGTTTTTTCCTACCAGTGGATAAAACCTAGTGAAAGGAATAGACATTTTTACTGAGCAACAATTTTTGTAGTTTGATTTGTTAACTAAAATAATATAAAAATAAAATTACTTCTATTATGAAATTGACAGTAGTCTCACTTTCCTTACACATATTCAGATTAATTGACAATTTATCACTAATGTATTCTAAAATTTTGATGGAATATAAACATTTATTGCTATTTCTCAATTGTATTTTTTCTTAGAAGAACATTCTTTATAAATAGTACAATGTATTTAATGATTTTTTGAATTTCAAATAATATGTCTTGATCGCTTGCATTCCTCACTGTTCCCTACTCCTCCCCATCTGTCCATGTCTCCCTACACTCTGTGTACTGTTTATTTATCCTTTTCTCTCTTCCTTGGAAGAGCCAATCTCACTGCATGTATCTAGGGTCCTTTGGCTCTAAAAAGGAGGTCATACACCCTCTTCCATGATGTTCCCCAAACCTTAAGTGTAAGCATTGAGTTGCGAATGTATGACTCGAGTCTGTGTTGTCACAACCAGCTCTGTTGACCTCTGCATTTCAATGTATTCCAAATTCTTTAGCAATATCTTTGCTGTAAAAGGAAGCTTCATTGATGAAGGATGACAGTTACACTTAACCTACATATAAGAATAAATGTCTAGAATATAATTAGAAATTATAGTGTTTTAAGAAAGCAGTGATAGCTGGGAGGTTGTGGCACACTTCTTTAATCCAGGCATTCAGGAAGCAGAGGCAGGAGGATATCTGTGAGTTCAAGACCAGCCTGGTCTACAAGAGCTAGTTCCAGAATAGGCCCCAAAGCTACAAAGAAACCTTGTGTTGAAAACTGAAAAAAAAAACAAAAAACAAACAAATAAACAAAAAACAAAGAACCAACCAAAAACAACAACAACAAAAAAGAAAGTGGTGATAGTAATTTCTCCTCAGGGATCTTTGGCCTCACTAGGGTAGCTGGCTAAATTTATATTTCCAGCAAGATTTATTTCTTATGAGTGGGTGTTAACCCCAATTGTATGGCTGTTGATTACTCCTTAGGAAACAATGCCACTGTTGCACATTTTGGAATAGCTTGCCTTGCTGGCCATTGCTGCCAACTGTAGACATTAGAGCAGGATAGGACTTTTAGTGTTCTTTTCTTTGGCATCTTGTATAACTCCTTTAAAATATGGTTAGAGATAATCCTAAGGGAAGAGATTTCCAAATCAAATCCAAGATGATTCCTTCAAGTCCCATGTTTGAGCAATGTGATATCTTCAGCAGTTGGATCTTAGATTATTCCTTTTTGTTTCTATTTTAATTAGTATGATTCCGAC